CCTCCCTCAGAGGTGCTGTTCCCTCGGTGACACCTGGAAAGGCTGTTGGAGGCCTGTACCTAGTGACACCTGGAAAGGCTGTTGGAGGCTTCAGGTGAACCCACACTCGTCTGTAACGGTCACACGCGGCTCAGGAAAGCAGCTGGGGGATATGTGAGAGGGCAGAAGCCCTGGCAGTGACCCTCTGCTTTCTGGCCTCTTTGGGGGCAACACCCGGTCGCTAGATCCTACCGCGGAGCTGCTGCAGAACAACCCCTGCCTGGCAGAGTTCCTCGCCTCCGTGCTGGCGCTGCCCGAGCCCAGCCCCAGCATCCTCTCCTTTGCGCTGCGGTTAGCTGGGACGCTTGCTGCTTCCGAAAGCCGCTTCCAACACCTGCAGGTGAGTCAGCTACCCAGGTACACGTGTCTGTTTCCTCCTTCTGTATGGAGGACACCTAAAAATGTGCATATTTTGCCTGTGAAATTTCTGGGATACATTGAACAACTCGGGGGAAAAAGTGATATGATAATGAAGACCTACAACCATACCATTCCTTTTAAGCTCTCGTGTAAAGCTGCTGGCTGCTTTCTTGTGTCTAGCCGCAGTGGTACTATGAGTGCTAATACGTAGTGCTCCTCATTTTCAGTTCAAAACAGCGCATGGGATAACACAGTCTCACATCAGTCATTGCAAAATATTGTATCCCTGGACAGATCCTGTAGATTTAAACTGTGGTAACAGATGTAGTTTTCCCTCTATAGTAGGTTGACAGGAAATCTCTGATTCTCTGCAAAAATAAGAGAGCTTTTCAGAGCCCTGCTTTCTATAACAGAATACATTTAGAGTACAAAACTCAAAACCCAAAAGGCTTTGAGGGAAGAGACGCATACAACTGTGTAAGGCAGTCTAATGGAACTGATACATACGTAAGTTTTCTGCAGCATCTTAAAACCAGGCAGTTTTGGTTTTGAACACCTCTGTTGCTTAGTCTATGAAAGACAGATACGTTGAGTTAAAGCATGGGATGCTGAAAATTTTCTGTTTTAGTGATACTTCTAGCAAGAGGAGGTTTCACTACAGTATTGATTTGGATGACAGAGCAGCCTCTCCACGCTCCTCAAGCCCCTTTGCTTACCGTTTACTCTGTTTGTTCTCCTCTGGCCTCAGCAGGAGAAGCTGTTGGTCAGGCTCTTTGGCGGGGATGGGCCTCTGAACAGCGCACTGTGGGAAGATGCATCAGTGCGAAGCGGCTGGTTGGAGGGTGTGCGCAGCATGATGTATCATCAGCCTGCCCTCGACTTCCTCTGCAATGGTGGTGAGTGCTGCTAGGACTGGGAACTCCCCAAATCCTCTGTTTCTTCCATTCCAGTCTGTTGCTCAGATGTTGAATGAGAGAGACAGGAGTTTTCATTTATTTAAGATAAAAATAAGCCGCTTGTCAAAAACAGTGAAGTCATTGAAAGATGGTTGGGTTTTTGTTAAATTACTTATGCATTTAATTCTGCCCCCCCCCCCACCGGTTAAAGCTGTGTGGTACTTGAATTAGAATAATAGATAGTTGGAGTGCAGCAAGGCTCCCCCTCACAATAGGAATGCTGTTGTTTTTTCTTCCATTGACTTGTTTTCTTTTCGCACAGGAGGCATAGATGTGATCTTCACTCTGCAAGGGGATCCCAGCCTGTTCGTGGCTTCAGCTGCCAGTCAGCTTCTGGTGCACATGTTCACCCTCTCTGTAGAGTCTGAAACAACTGAACCTCTCAGTACAAAGAACTGTGACTGGCCAGTGTGTGCCCAAATGATTATAAAGCATATAGAAGATTCCCTTCGCTCCAGATCTGCCTCTCACATCGAGCAATCATTAAAACTGTTAACTAATTTATTTGGCAGTTGTCATGCTACGTGGACTGAAGTACTTTGGTTAGGTGTAGCAAAGCAAATAGAATCCTTTTTGATGGAAGAGACTGTTCAAGTACAGCACATGTTGGCAAATCTTTTCCTTAAAATGGCACGGTAAAGATCTTCTGGGACCTTGGATCCAACTATGAGATATATCTGCTTTCTACTGTCAAAGAGGACATATTATTTACACTTCTTTCTTCTCAGGTCCCCTGTGTTTTCTGGCACTGAAAGCAGTTTTTGGGCATTAGTGACTTCTGCTCTGGAACACTTAACTCCAGTACAAGCAGGTCCTTTGGCAGTGGGAATTCTGAGGCTCTACAAATGGTAGGACTTACTTCAAATAAATTTTTACACTCTACAAATGTTTCTGTACTAATATCTTTGGTGTCTTTCAAACAACTGTTTTTTTTCCTCGCTGCATTTTCCACTACATTCTTTAATATGTAAGACTGGTTGGCAAGAACCATGCCAGTAGCCAACAAACTTCAGACACTGACAGTAAGAATGATACCGTTTCAAAGAGAGAGAAATGAAAGGAGCCAAAATCGTGTTAATGTGGATACCCTTGCATCTTGCCTACAGCCGGCTAATTTCAGGAAAAAATAGCAAGTTCCTTTAACTTTATACTGCCAAGGTTGACTAAGATAGACACAATTTGACTGTCTGACAAATCTTGTAGTCTCTGTTCAGTTTTCTGTTTCACAAAAACACTGACCAGTGTAAGAGCTTTCACTGCTTTCCAGCAGAAGCGTGCATCTGGAGACTCTGTTAACAGTTGCAGAATAACTTAGGTTAGAAGGAACCTGTAGAGATGATCTAATATAACCTCTTGCTCAGTGCAGGGCTAACTTCAAAGATAGATCAGGTTGCTCAGGGCCTTCACCATTCAAATTTCAGATATCCCCAAGGATGAGGATTCCACAGCTCCTCTGGGCAACCTGCTCCAGTGCTTAACCATTTTCATTTCATAATGAAAAGTATTTTCCATATACCTAGTTGGAATCTAACCTGTTGCAGTTTAAGATTCTTGTCTTGTGCACCTCTGAGAAGTCTGCCTGCATCTTCTTTATAACTCTGCTTTAGGTAGTGAAAAAGCACCAAGAAATCATCAGATGTCAAATGAATACAGCACATATGGATACTGATTTAGAGGCTAAGTAATGCCTGTGTCCGAAAATATAAGGACACCCTTTTGTTGACAAGAAATGCCACTCTCTAAACCCCCATCTTACACAGAACCCTGCTTTCTGTTTGCATAGCTTGATAAAGCAGCTTATAAATTCCAGAGCCATTTCTCCTCTGCTTTCAGTTAGCCAGGGAAACTTGAAAGAAAGCTTGAATTGTGATTCTACTTTAATTGCTCTGTCATTGCTGGCTTGTTTAAAAGCCTGCATAAAAAACATTATTCTGCTCTGCATTTGTGGGCAGATGTTTGGGAAGGAATTGAAGTGTACTTGTTTTGGTAACTGCTGTTTCCTCCTTGAAGCCCACAAGATGTGAGGATTCAGGCACTGACTGTTCTACTTCAGCCAATGGACTGTATTTTGAGAGCAGCCTCACAGCCTCTGGAATATGCAGGTACAGTTGTGATAGAAAAGTTAGAGGCTAGTCTGCTTGCCTGTTTTAAGTGTCTGGTGCAGACAAAACTGGAGGAAGAAGAGTAGAAGTAGTCGAGGACAGCAGCAGCGTTTGTGGTGAAGTGCAGCATCCTGCTGTCAGCTGCATTTGAAGGGATATTCATACTACATCACCTGAAAATCTTGATTGATTAACTTTAAAAAAAAAAAAATCACATTCTGTACTCACTAACAACCTGAGCTCTTCCCTTCTTTTGTTCTCCAGGTTTGTTGGATGAGTCTGTTAGTGATCCCACCACTGTTGAAAGTCTTCTGTCCTCCAAGTCAACTTGTGTTAGTCTTCTGTGTCAGACCCTCGCTCATCTGGAGGAGCTGCTGTCTCTGGTAACATTCAGAGAAGGAAAAATTGCCTGGGGATCAAATTGGTCCTTGAAAAACAGTGTTAAGATTAGTTGCAAACTTTTGTATTAGAGCTTAATAGAACGGGGAGAGGAGTTGACAATGAGAGTTTCCATATGTTAAAGAAACGGAGCACAGTGGACTCCAAACAAGAAAACAGAGGAATACTGAGGCTTCTAAAGAGGAACTGCACTTAGTTTTAAATCCATCTTTACAAGCTTTGTTACCATACCTTACTTCTACTGCAATTATTGATCCAGTGAAAAAACATAAATTGAACTGCTTTCCAAAGCAGTGAGAAGAATTTCCTTCCATCTGTGCAATAGTTATTGGGAGAGATTAAGATAATTTGTTTGTAGTTATTAGCATTGTGGTACCAACACTAGAAATTGCAATTTTTGCTGCCTCCTGACCAAAAACGCCTGCTCTGTGTGCATGCTTGAGACTTTTGCTGGAAATTTTCTTTTTTTCCTTTCTCCAATCCCATTAGATTCATTTGCCGGTGGATTTACCCTATACATCCTTGCTACACTCTCTCATGACAATATTACAATTTTGTAATGGCTTCCTGAGTCCAGCTTCTCCTCTGGGAAGCACGATAAGCCGATTCTTGATCAATTGCTTCAGAATACAGAGGTCAGCTCTTGATGTTGTAGCAGCACTCTCAGAGCGAAAAGGTGAGTTAATCTTGCACTCCACTTTTTTTTTTTTTTTTTTTTAATTTTGGAAATACTTGACTATTCTGTAGTTGCAGAATTTTTCATTCATTCCTTTTCACTGATCTTTCTGAATAAAGACAACCACTTTTCCATTTCTGGAAATTGTTAACTTCTTACAATTCTTCCTACTGTCTTGGCTAGCCTTATTTTCTGTTGATGAGCTGGGGCACGTAACACTGTAATTAAAAAGATTGTAGCAGTTGTAAGAAAGTGGATGTTTCTCCTTTACTCCAAGGACTGTACTTGCCCTCTTCTCCAGAACAGTTTTACAATCCTGTGTCTTTCTCTATTGCAGCAGTTGAATTGTGATTCAGCTGCTCCTCTTCTCAGTATTCGTCCTTTAGTTTTGCTTTTTTATGTTTCAGGCTGTGATGCACTCATAGGAAGCCTATTTGATGTCCTTCTGGCATACCTGGAGAGTCCAAACACCAGCCCTACTGTGAGTATCGAACGAAGGAGAGATCCAAGTCTCTTAGCTTGCCCCAGTGAGACGCAGTTCTGAGAAACTGTCTGGTGGGAGTTGTTTCTTAGCACAGTTTATATTAGAATATGTAGGAGACTTGTCCTGGTCTTGGGTGGCTTGCAGGAAATAGCTAAAATTCTAATAAGCGAGTAACTGACCGATACACTGAGTGTTCTTGAAAAGACAGGAGCCATCACATCCAAGAGTAGTGCCAACATACTCAACTCGACATGGCCCTTAAGTATTGAATTCTTTGCATGAAGGGGTTTTGTTTTCTTGCTTTGTTTTGTTTGAATTACTTTGATGACAACTGCAAATCAAAAGCTGGAGGTACTAGAGCTTTGTAACACTAAGCTGAGAACAGACATTTTCTAGGTGTTTGTTAGAAATGTTATATAGGCACCATTTGTGGCTGACTTGTTAGTAAGGAAGCATATGTACTTGTTTACTCTGAGAATTTCTCTGTAAGTTTGAGGCTAAAACAAATTTTATCTAACATAAAGGCAACAATGCCTCCTCCTGTCGTAAAGTTAAATCTGCTTTATATTGCTTCAGGTTCTAAAGAAAACATTCCGAGCTACATCCCAGTGGTTGGTGCGCTTGCAGGAACTGTCCTGCTCCAACAGTCGGTGGCAAAAAACTGAGATTTTGGAAGGTAACGAAGCTATTCAAATTGGGGCAAACAGCAGCTAGTGGCATATATTAAATTAGCTCTTACCTAACTTTCCTGCTCAAAACACTTAGGATTCATTTGTTTGGACTTAACGTTGAAATTTAGATTTAGCTGCCCAATAGTGCTGTGAAGAACTCTGTGAGTAGCACACAGCAGCAGCAAAAGGGATTGCATCAGATAAAATGATGTAGGGGTTGTACAGTGATCGCTTCAGTAAGATTTGTTTCCTTTCATGCCCATTCCAGCTTGTCACTTGGCTTTTACAGATGTGTTTCGGGTGCTGCAGAAGCGTTTATGCAGTCCTTGCTGGGAAGTAAGAGATTCTTCTCTGGAGTTCGTCACTGTCCTGATTCAATACTTGAGAGGTAGGTACAGAGATTTTACAGTTCACATTGGAGGAGCATTTCTTTCAGTGTTATGAAAGTCAGTCAGGCTTGGGAAGCATCCTCTGACCTGTAACTGGAGGACTAAGAGAAGTGTCAGGGGTCTTACATCATGATCAAAATCTGACAGAAAGATTAATAAACTTGTCCTACTTCTCTGTTGAACTCAGATTGCCGTGCCATCCTTAATGGCAGTTTTGGTGAGTTAAACTGAGGGGTGTTGAGACAGTCATATATGTTGAGACATGTATGTCAGGGCAGGTGACAATACCTAATGGCAGCTAATACTTTGGCTTTTTCAGTTCATTCTGCAGTGGAGTCTGGTTTCACGCAGTAGGCTGGTGGCTGAGATTTAGGAGGCTAAAAGCCTAGAGCTGCTTTGCACACTTTGGATTAATTACCGATTCTCCACCTTTGGCTTTGCTGCAGGTAGCAGTAAGGCACTGTTAATTCTCCTACAGTTGGAAGAGAGGGGGATGTTGTCAACTACTGTTATCCCCAGGTTACAAAGGGGGTATCCAGCACACTCACTGCATTAACAGTTTACCCTGCATCCCCTCTCAGTGCTGCAGTTGCATTCTTTTTCTTTGTTGTGTGCCTTGACAGTAAGAAAGAAAGAATATTTTTTCTCTCTTTAAGCAAAGGTGTAAGTTTGAGGCTGAAACCATATCCCTACTTGCCCAGAGACAGTTTTTTATTGCTGGTAGAACAACTGTAAATGGATTTTTCCAGGTTCCTGCATCTAGCAGGGCTTGACCAAAAGTCACCAAGCTGCTGGAAAATGGGGAGCCTGACACAGAGCATCTGTGCTCCTGTGAGCAGCTGCCTGGTCTCTGCAGCAGCTCAGCTCACTGGCAGCTGTCCCTGCAGTCAGTGGGCATCCTTGTATGACGCAAAGAACTGTTTGCATTGGAAACAGCTTCATGCTCTGAGAGAATAAAGCCTCGCTTCTTTGGATTGCTGTCTTGTTTACAGACCAGGATGAGTTCAGGCAGTCTCTCCTGTCTTCGGAGGTGCCGAGACTTACAGAAAATCTTCTTGAGGATTCGGAAAGCTATGTGCGAGCGAGTGCTGTGACTGCTGTGGGACACTTGGCCTTCATTACTTACTTTGCTCCAGAGTCACCTGGCGTAGGGAATCAGTATAATAAGGAGGTATGATGACTTGGTGTAGCCCACTGCAGAATCAAGCAGAACTACACATCAGTTCACTGCTCTACTACTTAACACTTTCTTCACAAGTTATCTGCAGCCTCACACAGGCATATTTCACAACTAGTAATGGAAAGACTAGATTTTTTTACTTCCACTGTTCTTGTTTCTTTGCATGTTCCTCCCCTTATTGTGCTTTCTCTTTATATTTTTACATTTAGCACATTTTTGCAAAGCTTCAAGAAATCTTGTCCACGGACCCAGAGGGCTTTCCTAGGAGGGCTGTGATCAGCATCTTCACTGAGTGGCTGAGCCAAGGCTGCACAGGTCAGCTGGAAGATACAGAGCAGTTTGTCTCTAGAGTGATCCAGACTGTGGAGCATGACTTAGACTGGGAAGTCAGACTTCGTGGTTTGGAACTGGTTAGAATTTTCTGTACTCACACAGTTTGCCAACTTGGCCTTCCTACATGCCCGTATGCTCCTGTCTCACCTGCAGTCACTAGTTCCATTCATCAGAATAAGACGATACAGATATTTTGCCGAGCAAAAGTGTTTGGCTTTTTGTTTCGGTCTTTGTGTGACTGTGATAAGCCAGTAGGTCAGAGAGCCTGTGATATACTGCTTGGCTTAAGTGGTTATTTCTGTCCAATTAGTAGCCTGAAGAATTCACAAGAGAGTGGAGATTCGCCTGCAGGACATGGCATTGCCTGGTTACAAAGGACACTAAGGCAGGGTTCTCTGGCCCAGAACTTCCCCACAGATGGTGGTAATGGGGTGGATTTTCAAGATCCAGAGAGCATGATGCTAGCTTTGGGTACAATAGACTTCGTAGAGCTGCGTGATGAACTAAATAAAAGTAGTGACCACGTGGAAAAAAGCCCTCAGTCCCTCTTACAGGACATCCTTGCTACTGTGGGGACTGTAGAGGAGAATGAAGCTGACTGTTACTGAAAACATCTTTTCCTCTGAGGGAGCAGTGCTTAAGCAGTTTTCTTCTGGAGGAGAATTTTTTTTTTATATCAGTCATGAAGTCTTTCTTGCGAGAGGATAAAAAAGTGTCATGCTGAACAGAGAAAAGGATGGTTTCATTAGCTGTTAAATGGGTTAGAAAAAAATCTTTGCTTTAATACTGATTAATGTTTTGTTAAAAAATTCAGTCTCCAATAAACTGCGATTTGTTTTTCAAAGTAAATACATTAAGAAATGCATTTGTTCTTTTTTTAAGTCCTCTGTCTTCTAAGAAAGCACCAGATCATGCCTACATAAGGAAACATTTAAAAAAAAAAAAAAACAAAACAGTGAGTAAAAACAAATTGTTGCATGCTCCTTTTAGAGCCAGAGTAGCTAAAACTGATGAAGACCGGTTTTAAGGGACACTTGTTTTGACCTTGTCCATATCTCTGTTCTAAAAACAGAGCTCTTGAGTCCCCTGTTGCATTTTGAGGCCTAGAGCAAAAGGTGGCATTTAAGGAGTCAAAAGCTGATTATCCTTAACATTACAAACTTTATTCTATAGATAACATACTTTTTTGATCTCAGCAGTGACACTAAAAAGCTGACTTTGTTTTTAACTGGAGCCAGAAGCAAGTCCCTTTTGCTGAATTTTTCGAGTGCTCCTATTCTTCATTCTTAAGGAACTAGGATAGCTTCTAACTGGTAACAGAAACAGACACTTGCTGCTTTTTCATGATAAAAAAATAGATCTATGCTTAGCTTTGGTAAACCATTAGAAAACAGCAGCTATAGTGCAAATGGCAACACTGTTCTCTGAGAAAAAAATTGCCAATTTTTTAAAAACTCAGGGAAAACTGTAGTTTGCAACTTACTCCAATGTCTTGCCATGTGATAAGAAGCTTTCTGAAACCTAGAAAAAAAAAAATGAGAGTACCTTTATCAGTAGGTCAAACCATGCTGTATTCTTTTCCAGCACTGAAGTGTTCCTTAGCATCCTTTTCCTTCTGCAGCCTATGTCAAGGCAGGAACACTACTCTCATTTTAGGCTCATGGAGGCTCTAATGCAGCAGAAGAACTTCTGCAATCTCCTTCAGTATTATCAGTATTATGTACTGCAGCAGTACAATGGGGTGAGATGTATTAATTTCTTGCTACTGAGTTTGAAGATGTACTCTGTGCCTTTTAATGAAGTCAGCACACTTACCTATCGCTCTGTGCGCAGCTTTATGTATGACAGCACCCTTGGGTGTTGTACCAGCAGCAGTTATTAGGAGAAAGCAGCTCTGCTGCTGACACACAATTCTACCTGAGCAGGATCTACACCTGGCAAAAGACAGAAGATTTTAAAAATCAGACCTTTCCCTTGCACTGCGTTTTTCTCTGAAATTGAAAGGGTTAATGAGAGAGAGGGGATCTGCTTTTAAAGAAGTGTGGATTGTTTGTGGAGTTTAACAATCCTGTCTGTTGAAGGGATTATAGTTCCAAAACTAGCATTACGTGTTGGCAATAGGTCAGATAGGCTCCAGGAAAGGAGACAGCAGGTTGCTGAGTAAACGTCTTCCTCCCGTTCAGCACTAGATTCTTGCTATTTCAGGGTTCTGCAGTTTAGGAGACTCCAAGGAATTATTAAAATATCAGCAAATTGAAAAAGTGACATGTTACGGAAGGGAAACTCCACTGCTCATTACCAAGGTCTCTTGACTCTCAGATCCTATTAATTTTTAGTGGAATTTTTTTCTTTTTATATTGGCTGGGGTGATGGTGACATTAAGTTTTTACTGTTTGCCTAATTGCAGTCCAAAGTCATGTTTATACACACGATGCTTATACACTAAAAACCCAGTGTACAACAAACGGGGAGGGCTCCTTATCTTTAGAAGGGAAATTAAGGACTCCTTTCATCTTTCATTAAAAACAGGCCTCCACCTCCAGCAATTAGGTGACTCCATGCTGATTGTGTACTCCCTCTTCTGAGCTCACGACATTGCCTTACTTTGTTTTCTCTGCTGCTCTAGTTACAGAAGAGTCTTAATAACACTGAGATTCTTGAAGTGACATCCCACACCTGGTAATTGGGAGAAACAGGAAGGGTCGTGAACATCTTAGCAGTGCAAGAAACAAATCCCAGGGAATAGAGGGGTGAGGGAAGATGAAAGCACAACAAAACCCCCATGATTCTTTCTGCAGAAGATGATGGCAGTGGGATTTGTGAGCTGAAAGTTTAGCTACCAAATTTGTAAACAGCTACTACAGTGAATCATCCATCATGCTGGGATACCCTCTCTAGGATGCCCATCTTTGCACACTTAAGAACTCACACGAGCCCTACCTCACTTACACTGCTAACTCATTTTCAACCCACTTCTTACCTACCAAAGCTATTTTTTCACCTCCACAAGATCTGTATCCCAGCCACACAGCTTTCTGCTGGGTTAAGAATTTACACCCTGTGGTATGTCTTGCCAAGGAGTTGTGGTCATGGTGCACCTGGGGGGAGGGTTTAACAGTCCTGAGAAGCAAAGCTTGTTACCCCCACACACATACTGAGGATTCCCTTCAACAAGTGCTATTGCTGCTTACTACTTCACACCGTGACAGCAGTGCTCCCTCCACACACTACACACCCAGCTTGTTCCTGCTGCACACTGAGGACTCCAGCGACGTAGAGAAGGAGGGGGGCTGCCTGGCCTTCCGTTACGGACATGGAAGAAAGTTCAAAGCTGCCTTTTTGGGATGGATTTCTGTGGAAACTGCTGCTTTCACACCATCAGTGCTGTAGCTGTGTAGGGTTCCTGCAGGAGGCAGGCACCACCGAGAGTTTTTCCAACGTACCCGTGCACGCACATACACGGTCTGCAGCTGATTTCAGGAAGGGCTGTGGCCAGACATCGACCTTGTCTAATGCAAGAAGCAGCAAGGCTCAGGACTGTCATTTGCTTTCGTGTGGGCTGTGGCTAGCAGGCAGCAGCAATGCAAGTGACATCAAGGCAGAACAACACAGATTAGAAAAAAACTATGTCTCCGACAGCTTGTATTGTGAAAGAAGATTACAAAGCTCATTTCAGGTCTTTATCTGCACAGGGGCAATGTAGGTTCTGTTGCCAGATCGGTACGCAGGTATGAAGCGCCTAGAGTTGCTCTCAACACATTTCAACAAAGCTCTGAAGAAAGGATTTATCCTTCAACTGCTCAGATTCAGACACAGGAGAGAATAAGCATCTTTGGCTCAGCTCTACACTAGCAATGGCTTTATATAAGCTGCCAAAAGAACGGCTGTTAATTTTCTGTTTTAATACATTGGACATTTAATATCCAAAGAATATTCTTTGCCTAATTATACTAATTGCACAACTTAGTCAAAAATGGGCCATAAATGTCTAAGGCTGTTGCTTTAGCTTAGATATATGTGGTCTGTGATTACAGATCAACTCATGCATATCTTTGCAATTTCTCTCATCTTTCTCTAATAAAATTTGCTCTACCCTTCAATATATATTCATCAAGGCTTCTGAAAACCACTCTGCGTTAGGGGAAACTCATCAACCAGCTTCACTGCAGAAGTTCTCAGCAATTTACAATGGAAAAGTCTATCAGGAGCAGCACCACTGCAGTCTGTGTCATTTCCCTTTGGAGCAGTGGGTTTTGTGCCTCAGACACCCTCCTCCGCAGGCAGGACAGAGCTTACCTATGACCTTGCAAGCCAGCACACAGAGATGGAAGCTGTCTGCACAAACAAGATGGGACAAAGCTGGTGATGTACAGCTGTAATGAAAGCACTCAGGGCTCTGTGAACACAGCATGGGTATGTTTGTAACTCAGCCCCAGATGGGAAGGGGAAATGAGCAGTCTGCATTGAGTCCCTGCAATACTACAGGTGTAACTACACAACTGTTCACTTAAAGCAAAAGGAAACTAAAGTAGTATTTCTATCTGTAATATCAACACCAAATCTCTGCTTAGAGCACAGCAACTTAAAAAGTTCAAGGACTGTATTTACTGTAAACATAGAACCAGGCTACGAAGATGCCTTCATGTGGCTGCCTCCAAAACAAACCCATCCAGACCAGGTTACTCCCCAGCTCACTCTGCAGCTGCCCAGTTGTTAAACTCGGTGAAAGTGCAGACAGATGATGTCTGGGACAGAGAGTGCACCCCCTCCTTTGAGGGACAGTGCCTGGTTAGACCAGATCAGGTGTACAGTAAAACCACAACCTTAAACAGCTCCTGTAGAGCATTAGGGCTGGAACCATGGTAGGACTGCCCCTTTTCATCCCTTTTCAGTGCAAGATAGGTGGGAATTACCCTGAAGAGCTAGATATACTTCCACATCTTCAGTTCTCCCATTTCATTATCTCTCGGTCCTCGTATTCCAGTCTCCATTGACCCCATATTCCCTGAGCTTTCAGGCTGGGTTGGTAGAAGGGAGCAGGGAGCTTGCGCAGCTGCGCACAGGGACATGGAGGCTTTCCTGGGCTGGTCCCTCACCATCACCACGCTCAGAGCTCTGGCCTTGAACCAGCTCCTGGGCTGGGCTGTGACCAGCACGAAGCAGCTGCAGAGCCATGTCTGGCAGATGGTGAATCCAGGCTGTACATCTTGAAACACAACCTGGCCCAGCCAAGACAGCTCCAGAATAAACCCTTACTAAACTGCATTAGCCATTGCACATGAAATTCTGCTGAGTTTATAGGCTGGGCAGGGGCACAGGTGAGCCCTGCAGCCCATTGCTCTCGAAACCAAACACCCTTGATGGGGCTGATCTTGTGATTACAACTCTCATTACGTGCCAACAACAGAAAAGCCCCAGTTAAATCACAAATGGCAGTGGTTGCTAAGTGACAGCATCCATCCAGGCTGGTCAGAGCTGCGAGATGAACAGCTGTGGCTGCACAGCAATCCCATCCTGTCCATGTAATTGAGGATAAAAATTGCTGTTTTCATTACCATTAGTCACCTTAACTTTGACCTCTCAGAACATTTCTGACAAAGAAACTCCA